TATGCACTTTCCCCTTGGGGTTCAGGAGATCCCACAGACCCTTGCCTGTTAAATAACCATGGACTCTACAGGTCAAGATGACAAGGCCCCATCTGTGTTTCTTATAGATCAGTGAAATGAACCGACGGGATTTGGTCCATCCTCATGCGAATTCAGACGGGTCACATGCTGGGCCGTCCTGTGGGGTGGGCCGTACGGGCCCCCACCCGAGGGGGTGCCGTGCGCAGGGTTGGATTCCCACCTGATCTGCTGCCGAGAGCCAGCTGGGCTGGCAGGGGCAGGCGAGCAGCAGCGGGGGGAGAGGGGGACACTTGGAGGAACAGCCTAGGAGCCAGGTGACTCCTCTGGAGTAGGGGTGCCCCTCCCTTCCCCCCCACTACATGTGCTCAGCTGCTGCTGTTCCTGCCCCCCCCCACATACACACACTCACGGAGCCTGTCCCTGGAGGGCCCTTGGCCACTCTGCACTGGGTGCGTCTCCTGTCTGCTCTGTGGGGGGGGAGCTGATGGCAGGGTGTCCCTCTCCCCCCACCCGTGTACCCGATTTCCCTAAACTGGGGGGATGGGACGGGGGGGGGGGAGATCTGTGTGTTGCTGCAAGCCTAGTTCAGGCTCCTGACCCAGAGTGATTTCTTAGAGACAGCGCAGTCACTCACTCAGGCACACACACACACACTGCCCTCAACACACACACACACACTGTCACACACTCCCCCCACCACACACGCCAGGGCTCCCTGCATCCAGGTCCTTTCCCCCCCGGGCTGTGCTGAGGCATCAGGAGCTGCCCTTACGCAGCCGGCAGGGAAAGTGCCCTGGGTGCAGGGAGCCCTGACAGCTCCTTGCTCCCCCCTCCCAGCCCCCTAGGCGCAGCAGTGCCAGCTGCTTTGTGCATCCAGGTCAGGTTCCCCACGTGGGTGCAGGAGGGGGATGCAGGGGCTGGGGTGAGGGGGGCACAGTGCAGGAGTTAGGGGCACAGGAGGGCAGGGATTGGGGTGAAGGG